AAGAAAGGAAAGGTGAAAAATAAATGAAATGGGCAAAATAATGGGGATATGAGAAGGAAAAGGAAAAGTAAAGAAAAAAAATGGGGAAACAAAAAAGAAAGAATGAAAGGGAAAGTGAAAAAGAAAGGAAATGGAATGTGGAGGCGGGGATTAAAAAAGGAAATGGAGAAAAGAAAGTAATTTAACAGCAAAATAAAATTTGTAAAGGAAAGTAGAGGAAAGGGAGAGGAAAGGGAAGTAGAGGGATGTAAAGTAAAGTAAAGGAGAGGAAAGGAGAGGGAAGGAAAGGCAAGGAAATGAAAGAAAGGAAAGGACTTAAAGGAAAGGAAAGGAAAGGGGGGAAATAGCAGCATTTAACAGGAACAAGAAAACAAAGACAAATGGAACTGAAAAAAAAAACAGAAATGAAAAGGAAAAAGGAAAAGAAATGGGGAAATGTAAAGGAAAAGGAAATTGGGAGAAGAATAGTGAAAAGAAAGGAAAGGTGAAAAATAAATGAAATGGGAAAAATAATGGGGATATGAGAAGGAAAGAAAAAATGGGGAACGAAAAAAAAAGAATGAAAGGGAAAGTGAAAAAGAAAGGAAATGGAAAGTGGAGGGGGGATTAAAAAAGGAAATGGAGAAAAGAAAGTAATTTAACAGCAAAAATAAAATTTATAAAAGAAAGGAAAGTAGAGGAAAGGGAAGTAGAGGAAAGGAGAGGAGAGGGATGTAAAGTAAAGTAAAGGAGATGAAAGTAGAGGAGAGGAGGGGAAAGGAAGTAAAGGAAAGTAAAGGAAAGGGGGAGTTGGATGATGCAAAACATATTTGATATCTAACATATTTCTATGATTAAATATTTCTATTAAATGTGGTCAGATGTATTAAAATCGCAAGCTTTCACAGAGAATGACTGAGCGTTTGGTTGTCTTAATTGTCCAGCACTGAACAGACACATCCCCACAGGAGAGAGAAGTTAAAAATAGTTGAAAGCACAAACAATAGAAATGAATGAGGAGAATGTCCCAGGAGGCCGAGGGGTGTCTGAGAGAGACGACCTGATGTCACACTCGATGATTCCTTCACACACACATCCCTCACGATCCGTGATCCTCCAGACACACACACACACACACACACTCTTCTCTGCTCTGAGCACTAGGTGTCTCCTTTCATCCACCGCTGAGGAGAGGAGTCCTGCCGCGCGTGTGTGTGTGTGTGAGCGGAGAGAGAGAGGCATGGCGGAGCGGGACAGGGGTCATCAGAGGGTCTCACCCAAACCATGATTTTAACGCAAGACAGATCCGCCAGGAGGACACCAGAAAAACTCTTTCCTTTTCTTTCTCTTCTCTTACTTAAATGCATTTAGTGTATGGTTGGAATAACCGCAGAAATCTTCTTATTTTGCTTTCAATGCATGATTGCGTTTAAAGAGAGCGTGTTCTGCCCTTTCCTAAGTCGTGATGTTGTCTTCAGGCTCGACTGGAACAGGTTTTCCTGCTTGAATGTTGATTATTCTCCTCATATTCTCCACTGTTGCGGCTCCTCTCTTCCCAGTCTGTCAGTAACGCTCTGTTCACTTCCTGCCTCTATGAAGCCCCTCCTTCTGAAAAGCACACCTTGCTCTGATTGGTCGGCTGTATCAGTGTGTTCTAATTGGTCGAGCGCTTCGAGTGTGTTTGGGAAATGTTCCGCCCCTTTCCATAGCCGCCAGTTTAACACGCTACTAACTAACTCAACCAGGCCCCGCCCCTTTATTCTGCGCATTAATTATTATAATGAGGAATATTGAGACGGGAGAAACTCAAGACTACAATGGAGGAACACTGACACTGATATAGAGGAGAACTGTGTGAGTTTGCATAAACAGCAACATTACACACTAAAGAAAGATGAACATGTAAGAAACAAAAAATCCCATTAGTTGACAGCAATAAAACACACAGCGTTTTGAGGGCACAGGAGCATATCGGCAGTAAAGCACATCACTCATCATGACGGAACTGGTATTGTTGGGATAGTATGTGCCGCCTACATAAACATAATAGTGGAGAAAGCATAACCCCGGGCTGTGTCTGCCTGAACACTGAAGCGCTGCATTACTGATGGGCTGCGCAGCGCTCAAGGCGGGTGTATGGGATATGAATAGTCAGAGGGCGTGTGAAAGGATCTCTATTCGTCATTTCTATTAATAGGTTGAGTCCTTCCAGCAGATCACCCTGAGAGCTGGACTACCTGTGCCTGAGAGTAATGCTCATAGCATGCACATGCACACATTTGAAAATCTTATCCTCAATACAATTAATCTGATGCACTGCAATCAAAAGACTGGGGTCAGCACATTTGTAATATTATTAGGGATGCACCGATATGAACATTTTGGTCGATACCGATAATTCTTTATACTTGAAAACCGATAACCGATATATTGGCCGATAAATAAAAAATTTTATATAATTTTTTGAGAAACTGATCACAAAAACAAAACTCTCCATGTCTCAAGCACACAATTATAATGTTCTCATTATCATGTTATGTAGCTTGTATGAGAGACTGAACCATATTTTCCTTTTTTTTTTAAAGTGATTCCAGTAATTTCAAGCCATGCAAAAGCATCATCATAATACACAATTTATCGGCTTTAATATATCGGCTACATTTTCGAATCAGGCCGATAACGATAACATTAAAAAATTGAACATATATCGACTGACACCGATATGGTGCCGATATATCGTGCATCCCTAATTATTATTATTATTATTATAAAGAAATTAATATTTTTATTTATCAAGGATGCATTAAACTGAACAAAAGTAGAGGCTTTTGCGTTGATACATGAAAATTCCATTGAAAACTATTTTTGAACATTGCATTTCTCAAAGAATCCTGAAAAACGTGGTTTCCAATGATGCATTGCTAATCCGCATAATGAGACCAGCTTTGCCATCAAAGGTAAAAATAAAATACTAAAATATATTAAAATGTTTTAAAATTAGTCATTTTAAAATGTTAATAATAATTACTAATTACTTTACTGAACATTAAAAACATTGGTGCTTTTTCTGTAATTTTTTAATGATATATATATATATATATAAATAAATCATTAAAAAATTATATATTTAGATTATATATTTTTTATATAAATTATATATTTAAATTATAATATGTTATATATTTTTTATTATATGTTTTTTATTCATAAAAAATATATATATATTTAGAATACGTTCTTCATCGGAATGGGACGAAACTTGGTAAAGGTTTTGACACTTTCCATGTGAACACAAAAACTAATTATGGACATGATTCAAACAGGTTAAATGGTCCTTTAACCAATAGTTACACTTGCTCCTCTCGTCAAATATGAGCGCACTGGAAACGAATGAGTGTTTCCTCTAGTGGAAGTGTTCGGTACTGCAGCCACATACACACAAACACACACTCACTGAACACTCATCTACTGAGAGGCTTTGATTTTTTAGCTTAAAATGTGTTTTTTAATATATATATATATATCACATAAAATTGAAAATAGTGTTTTTGCACTTTTCTCATAATAAATGTACAATTCTGTACAAGAGTTACATTTTTAAATAACCTTTTCACTTCAGCAATAATCTGCCGAGTGTGTCTTAGAGAAAATATCAAACTCCAGTTTGTGCTTTAAAGCGCTCAAGATTTAGCACAGGTTAAGGTGGAAATTTCATTTTCAGGTCTATACTCAAAATGTTAATAAATGGATTATAAATACAGCCTTAATAACATTTAGTACCATAAAATCCTCTAACATGCAAAACATTAAATTAAAAAAATCATTATCGAACTAAAATATAGTAATTCATTTCATTGAAATAAAAATAAAATAATAATTTTACCGAACCCAAACTTTTGAACAGTACTTCTATAATCTCACTGTACAGAATGTTTGTAATTTTTTTTTTTTTTTAATTTCTAATGTGGCTAATCGAGCATCAACAACGAACAATATTGATTTAACTCGTTTTAAACAAAATCATCATATTTTGGAGAGACAAGCAAACAAGATCACAGATCATTTATTCAGAGTATTCTTCTACACATGGCTTTTGTTTGTAATCTGTGCAGTCAATTAACTAGCATTAACAAATCATAAACACACTTGTTAATGTCACACACACACACACACACACACACACGGAGAGTTCTGCTCCTCAGTCACGGGGGGGAAAGCGCTTATAGAGGCTCTTATCTTCGAGAATGCATTAAGATACGTGAGCCTGATTGACAGCCTCTTCAAACACACACACACACACACACACATTAAAGCGCTTTAATGAGCATTATAGAGTACGCTCACCTCTGACTTTATCAGAATTATAAACAATCCACTTTATATACCTGACCTTACAGGTGATCCGCTTCCCTCCATATTCATATGAGAGATTAACAGATCATTAATATTAATGAGGGCTGATTGTCACAAGCAAACATGCTGCGTCATCAGAAGGTGAGTACTGAGCTGTGTGTGTGTGTGTGTAGAGGCCGTGTCAGAGACCGTCCGGCCCACCACTCGCCACACACAGTGTCACACACACTGTCACACACACCGTCACACACACCGGTGTTCGGGGGTCTCCCGCGGGCTGATAGCGGCTCCTGATTGGTTCAAATGTCCCGATTCTAGAGCGAGCGAGAGCACATGTAGCGGCAGAGAGAGGGAGCGAGCGAGAGACCTTGCGTGTGTGTGTGTGTGTGTGTGTGTGTGTTATAGATGAGTGGTGGGATATACACACACACTAAGAGGTTTATGCACTGCTCTCTCGAGACTGCATTCACACTGTAACTCACATATATGCACATATATATGAAGAGTTCAGATGCAAAAGCCTCTAAATGCCATTTGAAATTTTCTTCTTTAATGATGATTTTTATCAAACTTGTATATTTAAGTTCAGTAATTTCACTTAAATGACAATTAATAGGTAATTATCATTGACATTTAAGTGAAATCACTGAACTTACATATCGTCGCTGTCGGGCGGAAACCTCGTATGTCCAAATTTGGTCAATTTCATATTTTTTCACAAATCGATGTTATTGGTCAGTCTCCACGTGGGTCTGTTATTTTTACAAATTATTACCCAATCGAAAGTGTTGAAAATAGCTTGTGAGCAAACCTCTTAACTCCATTGGACACTTCAACTGTGTGTCAAACCTCGTAACTCCACCCCTTCTTCACTTGGCGCCGCTGCACTGCCTGGGAGCTTTGCGGCATTTTTTCTCCTCAAGATTGGAAGTCGCTGAGCAACACGTCCTCTGAGGTAAATGTCCTTATTCATGATTTAGTTATATCAATTATATAATAACAGTTTATATATTATATAACAGTTTTATCTCGATCGAAGTAATGGTAGTGCAAGTGTAATGTAGTCTAATTATGTTGATTTCTGAGGATGCTAGATTTTTCTTTCTGCTATGTCTTTGCATTAGACGGTAAGTTAGCTAAGTTAACTTATCATGTTGATTGAAATCTTCCATGGTATTGTTTCTGACGAGGAAATTTAATTTAAACCGCAAAAATTGCCTGTCGTTGACTTAGTTAGCCGCTATGTCACGTTATTGGTTTTGTCATCATGTTAGCTGCTAGGTGAGATAGGCAGCTGTGATTTTCGTGGGGCTTAAATAAAAATCTCTCGACCCCTGCTAACGCTAGTTCTGGCACTCATTTGAGGAACAACATAATAATTTAATGTGCTATGTCAGGATTGTAGCTTACAATGTCAAGGCATTCCGTCATGTTCATCACTTTAAGCAAGCTAGCTGGCCTCTTGCCTTGTTATCATACGTAAACATGCCGTATAACTTAGTGAAACGATCATTTGACCTTTATTTTATTTTTTGCAGCAACCATGTCTGTGTCCTTAAAGGAGCTCTGTCAGATGGTCAATGTGCCATATGATCAGGCAATGGCCCTAATATGACAGTGAGAGCTCTGATGGAGATAGTGTAACGTTAGAGAGAGAGGAAGCAACAGTGGTGGAGGATACAGTGGTGCATGCTGGTAGAGTGAATTTCTGAGAGATAATCATGATTTCACATGCCAAAATGAATGAGTTTTAATGCAGATGTATTTCACAACAATATAAATAAAAACAATCACACTAATTGTACGATGTGTTTGAAAAGATTTATCTGGTGGTCTGGAGGAAGAGGAGGCCTCACTCCTGGCTCCAGAGCAGGTGCAGTTTGACACGGGTAGGTTTGATGCTTTTCTACATTTTGCTTTTCTGCTTTCTGCTTTTCTACATGGATTTCACAACCATAGAGGTAACACTTTACAATAAGGTTCATTAGTTAACATTAGTTAATGTATTAACTAACATGAACTAACCATGAGCAATACATTTGTTACTGTATTTGTTCATCTTTGTTAACGTTAGTTAATAAAAATACAGCTGTTCATTGTGTGTTCATGTTAGTTCACGGTGCATTAACTAATGTTAACAAGATTTAAATAAAATATTAGTAAATGTTGAAATTAACATTAACAAAGATGCTGTATATGTGCAGTTCATATTAATGTAGTTAACTAACGGACCTTATTGTAAAGTGTTACCACAATGTAAAATAAATAAAAATGACACTAATTGTACAATGTGTTTGAAAAGATTTCTCTGGTGGTCTGGAGGAAGAGGAGGCCTCACTGCTGGCTCCAGAGCAGGTGCAGTTTGACACGGGTAGGTTTGATCCTTTTCTACATTTTCTCATTAAATTGGATACGGTCCTTCAACTATAGCCCTTACTGTTGACAGTTTATAAAGATGTAACTCATTCATGCATGTTTGGTTTGTGTGTGTATTTTGAAGTTTTCCATGGTGCAGGCGATGAGGACTCGGATGCACAGCATTCATGCTCAGATGCTGAGGAAGACGCACCTCCAAGGAAAAGACTGAGAGCTTACAGATCTTACACCGTGTCCTAACTACACGCGATGTGACGCGACGCCGCGTCACGTAATAAAAGGTATCTTTTCCATGTTAATCAGAGTTTTTGTCCTAACCAGACGCGACGGCGACACGCAAAGTTTCTAATTTAGAAACGGTTCCTATTTCTGCGACGTCGTGGCTGACAGAATGAAGAAATTACACTGGTTATGAGTACACATTATTTATTTTTAGTTAAAAATTGGTCACTGTGCCACAAGATAACGGATAATTTACCTCAGATTTTGAAAACAGATAATATAGCGTTCAAAATGACTTCTATGCAAACATATACAACTGTACTTCATCACAAAATTAGTCAATGAGTATGTTTTGTTAATGTTTTGATTTTTAATAATGTTATTTCTTGATTTGATTATGTAACTTCTTACCCATTTCCAATGCGAGTGCGGGCCAGCAGTGTGCTTTCACGCACACGCTGTTCTGCGTGGCTGTGATTTTTGAGTGTGGCATCTCACAGTCGCGTCCCGTCTAGTGTGGACAGACACACTTGCTGTCGCTGGAATTTTATCGCGTCGCGTGTAGTTAGGACACGGTGTTACAGTGATTATGTTGTTGTGTTATATTTTGTGCTATTAGGTACAACAACAATGGAACGATGGACTTCAAAATCAACCACTCTGATTACTGGCATTCACATCCAAGTCACCAACTCCGAAACTCCACCTCAGACAGCCACACAGTCACCCCCACTCTATTCAGGCCGCCTGAAGATCACAGTGCTGAAATTCAAGACCTGAAGGAAGTCATCCCAAAGGACTTTCACAGCTTTTACGACAATTTACTTCACTAGCTTAATATAGGATGCAGTATTAAAGGAGAACTGGCAAAATGATCCTGGGGTGTAATAACACATTGGTATCGAGTTTTATCTCTAAAAACTGTTTAGCTTATAAAGCTAGTATATGTTGGCATATAATAAGTAAAAAGAAATCAATGCTAACAATGCTCAAAATAGCCCCACACTAACACGGTAGTATAATGAGGGTCTCTACATACAAACCGAAGCACTGAGAACTTTGTAAGTGTACAGACAGTTTAATAATAATATACTTTATAAAGACAGTAGCATCCCGGCGCCATCTTTGGAAAACAGTCTCGACCAATCGAACCACTAACGCCACACTAAGTGAGCTGAACTAAGTTCCAAGTCACAGTTTAGCTCGTAGCACAGCGTTCGTGGTTCGATTGGTCGAGACCGTTTTCCAAAGATGGCTCCGGGATGGTACTGTCTTTATAAAGTATTATTATTAAACTGTCTGTACACTTATAAAGTTCTCAGTGCTTCGGTTTGTATGTAGGGACCCTCATTAAGCTACCGTGTTAGTGTGGGGCTATCTTGAGCATTGTTAGTGGTATTAACTAGTGATTTCTTTTTACTTATTATATGCCAACATAACATTATAAGCTAAACAGTTTTTAGAGATAAAACTCTTTACACTCGATTATCATGAAAACAAATCCCAGAGAAAAGTCGACTCGGTACCAATGTGTTATTACACCCCAGGTTCATTTTACGCAGGAGTTCTCCTTTAATACAGTCAATATAATGGCAATGTAACCACACACAGGGTCTCACAGATACATGCACACAAACAAGGGCTAACCATACTCACAAACACAAATACACAAGCCTTAACTGTGATTTTATTATATTATAAATATTATTTTATATTAATATTATATTTATTTTATTGTTAAACTATGATATTAGTTATTGATGTATTTTAAATGTCTACTTTTTACTAGGCTTATTATAAATATGCATTGAAGTTTTTAAATGTATAATATAATACTTGAATTGAATGTTTTGGATACCACCATTAAATTATTGTTTTTATTATTATTATACTGACTCAAAGTTTCCTCTCGTGGCACTGTGCATGTAAAATAGCCCAACTATTGTTTTTATGGGAGAAAAAACTGAAAAAAAACGTCTACTGGCGTCGAGTAAGCCTATCTTTGGATAACTCTGTCTCTGTCTGTTTTTTAGGTAATAACGAGTGAAAATAGTTAGGTTAGATACATTTGAGTAGGCCTGTTTTGTTAAAAATCGAAAGCTGTAATGCTTAGATGCAGAAGGAAGCCCGTAAGCCACAAAGGTAAGTTTGTGTGCAGATTAGGCTCATTTCCGCCTATTAGACAGCCTAGTCAGCTCGTTTTTTGTGTGTATTGCATCACTTATAGATCATAACCTTTTAAAATAGAGTTTATGAAGATATATGTAACCACAACCATAAGCTTAGATTAGCTCTTAAAACCTTGTCTCGTCAAAAGGCTCAACGCGACCGCGGACTTGCATGAACACTGCTGGCAGCAGCAAGTCTGCGTCGTTCCACAGCGAGTCTCGTATCTCCCTGCTCCCAAGTCATAAACCTCGGATCTCCGATTAAACATGATTTTGGGGAAATGTTGTGTTAATGTTGGTACACAACTGTATATAACAGCAATATAAGGTATAATACCAACTTTAACGATACAATGTTTAATAACTCAAAAAATACGCAGTTTTGTTTATTTCCTGAAAAATGATGGTTTTGGAGATACGAGGATTCCGCCCGACAGCGACGATATACAAGCTTGATAAAAATCATCATTAAAGAAGAAAATTTCAAATGGCACTTAGAGTCTTTTGCATCTGAACTCTTCAAATATATATATATATTTAATAGGGCTGGGTAATAAATATCGATTTCTCGATATTAATCGATTTTCATTTTTACGAACCGATATCGATTCTTAAATCTCAAGAATCGATTAGTCATCCTGTTTCATTTGAATGAATGGATCATTGTATCGCGGCTGCGCGCATCCAAAAAATCGCAATAATCTTTGTCCTTTGTTACTATTGATATGAAACAAAGTCTCAATTTTCAAATTACGTCCATTTTCTTTAGAAATTCATAATCATAAATAACGTTTTGTCGCTGTGGCGTGAGATCGCTCTGGAGAAGTAGCAGCGCTGATCTCACTTCCGGGTTAATAATACCAGTCACAGCGCCAAATAAACATGAATGAGCATCTGAAAGTGTGTTAAAGATAGAGTACAACTATCCAAATCCGGATCATGTCACATTGATTCACAATCAGCGTTTCAACCGTGGAAAGACGTCAGTTAAACAGCTTGTAATCAATGTCATCGTCATATTTACCTCAGAAAACCCACATAAACTCGTTAGTCAGCTAGAAAAAATAACTCTAGAGAGGAGCATTTTGCTAAATATGCATTATAATCTTAATGTTCTTCAATATTTAATGCATATTTGAATAAATCTGGCAAGTTTTTATGACAGCCATCATTTAAATGTTTATATTTCATATAATCTTCTTATTATAAAAATAAATAAAAGTGTAATTTAAGTGTTTGTAGAGCTACAAAACAGTTCATTATTACCTTCATATTAGGCTAATGAAGCCTATAGGCTACAACTAGACTCCCATAGTTTACAGCATTAGTTCAGAGATTTGATTTCCTTATGAAAATTTGCCATTTATTGTAACTGATATCAAAAAATCAATATTGAATCGAATCGAATTGTGAAATTTGTGTCAATACCCAGCCCTAATATATAAACATACATACAATATATATATATATATATATATATATATAAACATATACATACATACACATATACAAGTATATACACACATATATATATATACACATACATATATATATATATATATATATATATATATATATATAAATCTCCAGCAGTAGTGAGAGAGTTAGTGTGTGTGTTTCCACGGGTCCCGTGACTCGACCGGAGCTGACGCGGGCTTTAATCTGCACCTCATGTGAATGAGCCAGATATTAAACACACGAGGCCACAGCGTTCTCCTCAGAGCCACAGCTCACACAGGAACAGGATTTGCATTATAAATGTCCGTTTGAGCAGGTGTTTCTTCTAATGTTACATAACCCATGACAAGTTAACCCATTATGCTGCACTGTTATTAATCTTACACCACAAACAGTGAATCTGGTGATAGAGCAGAGTTTGAGGTTTCAGAAAGTGCCGTGTGTTTCGGTACGCGCTGTGTTAAAGCACATTAACAGCACTCGGATAAGGAATCGTAGAGATATATCGATCGCCAGGAAGAGCTCAGAGCCAATATCTCGTATCCAAACAAGTTTACCTCCGAGTGCCATTAAAGTGGTGTTTCCTTGAGGATTCGGTGATCTGCTGTAGATTCGGGCTCTCCCGGAGCAAACGGCCCCAATGTGATATTTCTGATAAGAGTGAGTGAGGATTAAAGTGAGGTAAAGGGTCTTTCTGTGCTCTGGAACATCACTGTATCTATCCGTCTCTACACACACACACACACACACAATTCTGACTTTATATCTCGCAATTCTGACTTTATATCACACAATTCTGACTTTATATCTCGCAATTCTGACTTTATATCTCACAATTCTGATTTTATATCTCGCAATTTTGACTTTATAACACCCAATTGCGACTTTATTTCTCATAATCTGACTTAAATTCTCGCAAATCTCGCAATTGTGAGATAAAAAGTCGCAATTATTTTTTTTAATTTTATTTTTATTCAGTGGCGGAAACAAGCTTCCATATAAATCAAATCCTGATATAAATAGTTGTTAAATTGTATAAGTTTCATGGTTTCTGATTTTGTATACTTTTTAAGATTTCTAACTAAAACATAAAATATATGCTTGTTTTCTGATAGTTGAGACCTTTCATTAATACATGACACAAGTATATCTGTTATGGCTATACAGAGATACAAGTATATCTGTATCTTTTACAGATCACATTTTCCAAACCACCTTTGTAATTAGAAAATGTATAAGCACATGGTTAAAATCACAAATCTTTAAAATCAACACATATTTTGTGTTGGTTCAAGTGGTTAAGTAATATGATAACTTAGCAGCGCCTACCGCTTCGGATTTAAAAAGTTAAAGGTTAACGATTAATCGATTGTTCAAATAAACAACAAACGATTTGGGGAATAGAGTATATGTAAATTGACATCCCTAACCACAATTATATTTTTCTCTAGAAAAACTCATCTTCAATGTTTCATCCAAATAAAAATGTGAAGAAACAAAAATCAATATTGAATTTACTCCAAGGTCCTTCGGGTCACAGAAGGGTGAGCAATCCTGAGACGTTCAATTCAACATGATGCGAAAACCTGGACCGACATCACAAGTGGAGCGGCTGGCTTCTTTTAAAACATTTCAAAGTATTAAAGTGCAACACGCAAATCCTCGAGACAAAGTGTGTTGTGGCGAAGTGCATCTTCACACGCAGCGTCTGGACCACACACACACACACACACTGGAGCGCGTGTGAATGTCAGATCTGCGGGGGTTTAATTGCACACCCACTCCAGCTAATAGGGCAGCTTCCAAAAGTTTAGACCTGCATCGCCTTCGGGTTTCATTTCAAAGCGTCCGCACCCGTCCGGCCCTCACAGGGACGCGTTTACCATTCTCCCAGAAACGCACAGGTGACTGACCTCAATCTCTCACACTGTTCTCGCCTGCAGAGCCGCTGAATAACGCCTCATAAATAACAGCGGCTGAAGAGAACCGCTCTGAATTTCTTTGTCCTAAGCAGAAGTGTGACGCAGGTTCTCTACCGTGGGTATAAAACACGGAGGAAAAGCAAACGCTGAAGAGATTATTCTTGTTCACCTCAGGGCTGAAGTGCAGACTGTCCAGAAAGACTAGATTTAGTGTGTGTAAAAGACTTCTGCACTGAACTATAATGCTGAAAAAGGGCTTGGAAAGTGCAATGTGAAGCCATGCTTTGATATCGTGATGTTGTATGAGTTTTGAAACATTTAGGTAAAACTGAATCCATATTGTTTGGAACAAAGATAAAATCAA